GCACAAATAGATCGTCACGGTCTGAGGAGAGAAGTGCTGCGAGGAGTGACTGGGGATCTGGTCGACGCTCAACACTCAAGGAAAAGGCGAGACGGATATACAGGATGCTACAGTGCCAACGGAACTCTGCGTTTACTGCTGAAGATAGGGATGTAGCACTTATGGGAATGCGGGGAGTGCCGTAATGTCGACTCACAAGACAAAAATTAACATTCTTTTTCTTCGCGTTCACCAGCTGTAAATTCTGGCGGAAAGTTCTAGTTGTTCGTCCACTTGTGGACCACAGTCTGGTTCCCAAACCTGAGTGTTGCATTTTACACATTTGACCTTTTTTGTATGCAGACAGTTGGTTCCTTGCCCTTCAGGCAGATGCACCCCGACTTAGAAGGATGCTCCCAATAGGTCGACTCTCACGGCATGCTTTTGGGTAGGCAGGGGGTTTATTATTGTTTTCCTGGAACCCACATGGGGTAAAATCAACATTCAACATTTGATACATCATTGGAAGGGGACATGTACGGTACTGTACTTCTTGTAACTGACAGTTTGAGGGGAGGGGAGGCAGGAGAAAACTAAGAGGGAAGACTGTATACAGGTCAGGACAGGATAATACACACACACACAGGATAAAGACACGACAAGACAGGATAAAGACACGACAAGACAGGATAAAGACACGACAAGACAGGATAAAGACACGACAAGACAGGATAAAGACACGACAAGACAGGATAAAGACACGACAAGACAGGATAAAGACACGACAAGACAGGATAAAGACACGACAAGACAGGATAAAGACACGACAAGACAGGATAAAGACACGACAAGACAGGATAAAGACAAGACAAGACAGGATAAGACAGAACAGGACAAGATAGGTCAACACAGAATTCGCCGAAGTTAGACAACTCAACACCAAACTCAAAACAAAAGGACAAGATAAATATGCACCTATCTCTTACCTATCTCTAACTCATCTCCGACCCACTTAAAACCCATGCACTTTACGTTCACAAACGAATGAATGTGTGTGTGTGTGTGTGTGTGTGTGTGTGTGTGTGTGTGTGTGTGTGTGTGTGTGTGTGTGTGTGTGTGTGTGTGTGTGTGTGTGTGTGTGTGTGTGTGTGTGTGTGTGTGTGTGTGTGTGTGTGTGTGTGTGTGTGTGTGTGTGTGTGTGTGTGTGTGTGTGTGTGTGTGTGTGTGTGTGTGTGTGTGTGTGTGTGTGTGTGTGTGTGTGTGTGTGTGTGTGTGTGTGTGTGTGTGTGTGTGTGTGTGTGTGTGTGTGTGTGTGTGTGTGTGTGTGTGTGTGTGTGTGTGTGTGTGTGTGTGTGTGTGTGTGTGTGTGTGTGTGTGTGTGTGTGTGTGTGTGTGTGTGTGTGTGTGTGTGTGTGTGTGTGTGTGTGTGTGTGTGTGTGTGTGTGTGTGTGTGTGTGTGTGTGTGTGTGTGTGTGTGTGTGTGTGTGTGTGTGTGTGTGTGTGTGTGTGTGTGTGTGTGTGTGTGTGTGTGTGTGTGTGTGTGTGTGTGTGTGTGTGTGTGTGTGTGTGTGTGTGTGTGTGTGTGTGTGTGTGTGTGTGTGTGTGTGTGTGTGTGTGTGTGTGTGTGTGTGTGTGTGTGTGTGTGTGTGTGTGTGTGTGTGTGTGTGTGTGTGTGTGTGTGTGTGTGTGTGTGTGTGTGTGTGTGTGTGTGTGTGTGTGTGTGTGTGTGTGTGTGTGTGTGTGTGTGTGTGTGTGTGTGTGTGTGTGTGTGTGTGTGTGTGTGTGTGTGTGTGTGTGTGTGTGTGTGTGTGTGTGTGTGTGTGTGTGTGTGTGTGTGTGTGTGTGTGTGTGTGTGTGTGTGTGTGTGTGTGTGTGTGTGTGTGTGTGTGTGTGTGTGTGTGTGTGTGTGTGTGTGTGTGTGTGTGTGTGTGTGTGTGTGTGTGTGTGTGTGTGTGTGTGTGTGTGTGTGTGTGTGTGTGTGTGTGTGTGTGTGTGTGTGTGGTGTGTGTGTGTGTGTGTGTGTGTGTGTGTGTGTGTGTGTGTGTGTGTGTGTGTGTGTGTGTGTGTGTGTGTGTGTGTGTGTGTGTGTGTGTGTGTGTGTGTGTGTGTGTGTGTGTGTGTGTGTGTGTGTGTGTGTGTGTGTGTGTGTGTGTGTGTGTGTGTGTGTGTGTGTGTGTGTGTGTGTGTGTGTGTGTGTGTGTGTGTGTGTGTGTGTGTGTGTGTGTGTGTGTGTGTGTGTGTGTGTGTGTGTGTGTGTGTGTGTGTGTGTGTGTGTGTGTGTGTGTGTGTGTGTGTGTGTGTGTGTGTGTGTGTGTGTGTGTGTGTGTGTGTGTGTGTGTGTGTGTGTGTGTGTGTGTGTGTGTGTGTGTGTGTGTGTGTGTGTGTGTGTGTGTGTGTGTGTGTGTGTGTGTGTGTGTGTGTGTGTGTGTGTGTGTGTGTGTGTGTGTGTGTGTGTGTGTGTGTGTGTGTGTGTGTGTGTGTGTGTGTGTGTGTGTGTGTGTGTGTGTGTGTGTGTGTGTGTGTGTGTGTGTGTGTGTGTGTGTGTGTGTGTGTGTGTGTGTGTGTGTGTGTGTGTGTGTGTGTGTGTGTGTGTGTGTGTGTGTGTGTGTGTGTGTGTGTGTGTGTGTGTGTGTGTGTGTGTGTGTGTGTGTGTGTGTGTGTGTGTGTGTGTGTGTGTGTGTGTGTGTGTGTGTGTGTGTGTGTGTGTGTGTGTGTGTGTGTGTGTGTGTGTGTGTGTGTGTGTGTGTGTGTGTGTGTGTGTGTGTGTGTGTGTGTGTGTGTGTGTGTGTGTGTGTGTGTGTGTGTGTGTGTGTGTGTGTGTGTGTGTGTGTGTGTGTGTGTGTGTGTGTGTGTGTGTGTGTGTGTGTGTGTGTGTGTGTGTGTGTGTGTGTGTGTGTGTGTGTGTGTGTGTGTGTGTGTGTGTGTGTGTGTGTGTGTGTGTGTGTGTGTGTGTGTGTGTGTGTGTGTGTGTGTGTGTGGTGTGTGTGTGTGTGTGTGTGTGTGTGTGTGTGTGTGTGTGTGTGTGTGTGTGTGTGTGTGTGTGTGTGTGTGTGTGTGTGTGTGTGTGTGTGTGTGTGTGTGTGTGTGTGTGTGTGTGTGTGTGTGTGTGTGTGTGTGTGTGTGTGTGTGTGTGTGTGTGTGTGTGTGTGTGTGTGTGTGTGTGTGTGTGTGTGTGTGTGTGTGTGTGTGTGTGTGTGTGTGTGTGTGTGTGTGTGTGTGTGTGTGTGTGTGTGTGTGTGTGTGTGTGTGTGTGTGTGTGTGTGTGTGTGTGTGTGTGTGTGTGTGTGTGTGTGTGTGTGTGTGTGTGTGTGTGTGTGTGTGTGTGTGTGTGTGTGTGTGTGTGTTCGTATAATAGTTGATCACCCGTTACAAGTCTAGATGTCTTTTGTGAGGAATATGTGAGTCTAGATGTCTTTTGTGAGGAATATGTGAGTCTAGATGTCTTTTGTGAGGAATATGTGAGTCTAGATGTCTTATGTGAGGAATATGTGAGTCTAGATGTCTTTTGTGAGGAATATGTGAGTCTAGATGTCTTATGTGAGGAATATGTGAGTCTAGATGTCTTTTGTGAGGAATATGTGAGTCTAGATGTCTTTTGTGAGGAATATGTGAGTCTAGATGTCTTATGTGAGGAATATGTGAGTCTAGATGTCTTTTGTGAGGAATATGTGAGTCTAGATGTCTTTTGTGAGGAATATGTGAGTCTAGATGTCTTATGTGAGGAATATGTGAGTCTTGATGTCATATGAGGAATATGTGAATCTAGATTTCTTTTATGAGGAATATGTAAGTCTAGATGTCTTATATGAGCAATATGTAAGTTTAGATGCATTTTTACTCAGCTAGTCAGCCGACAACTAGTCATTGTTTAACATGTTTTTGTATCCACATAATGAAGACACAACAGTAGATTGGATAATTTATTGCCACTGGGATTGTCCAGACTCGGCCAGACAGAGACAAAAAATCTGGCTCACAGGAGTGAGCCTACAAGATAAATTATTGGGCAGGGGGAAGGCCTCAGACGCACTGTCCTATCTATAACCTATATTAGAATAGACACATGGTAAACGTTGATCGTTAAGGAAGGAGAAAATACAGCATACGTCATCATATGCAACAAACACACTCCAAAATATGCAATTACCTAAACATAGCAGAATGATAACTGATTGCACACATCAGAAAAAGACATTCTACATCCTTTGGTCATGTGATGGGAAGGAGAAAACTGGTGTACATCGTGACGGTAGAAAAGTTGAAGGGGAGGAGAGGCAGAGGGAGACCGAGATAAAATATGCTGCTTTGACATTTTGGCATCAAGGATCATCTGTGTCAGAGTTGACTGAAAGTACACGAAACAGAAGGTTGTAGAAAGACATGACTACCAACGCCACACGGTATGGACTATGGAAGATCATCTGTGTCAGAGTTGACTGAAAGTACACGAAACAGAAGGTTGTAGAAAGACATGACTACCAACGCCACACGGTATGGACATTAGGAACAAGACAGTGTGTATCTTAGGTATGCAAACACACAGTCACACAAACATCCACACAGAATTAATGACTACCCACACTAATGATTTGATTTGATTTGATTTGATTCGATTCAAGAACCGACATCACAGCACTCGGGGCATTCCCATAAGCGCTCTGTCCCAATCATCAGCAGCCAGCGAAGAGTTCTGATACTAATGGTGCCAGTAGCTTTCTGATTAAACGTCCGTCTTACCTTTCCTCTGAGCCTCGAGCATCTGCCAGAACCTCTCGTCACCCCCAACTGCATCAATCTCACCAGACTGTGGTGATCCATCTGCTCCTCCGAATTGTACACGCTCTCCCACAAGGCACTAACCACATCTGCCCTATCACTAATGCATTTATGCATACATCCCTATATTCAAACAGGCAGGCAGACACACACACACACACACACACACACACACATACATACAGACAGAATTATATTTATTTATGATTTTTATTAGTTGCCTTATTTGTCATGTATTTCTTTAGTATAACAACGACATCGTTGATTGGTCAAAACCCATGCTGGGGCAAGTGGAATGTCTCGGGGACAAGTATTTTGATTGGACACACCAGCAAGTGAATCGACCACTCAGATTGTTCGCTTCTGACTTTGCTGAAATGATTACTAAAGCCGATTGGTGGTTCATTCCCATCACGTGGTTGCCGATTGCAATCTTTTACATGTATAGATCATTCAGCATTCTCTGCCAGTCCCCAGAGGTGTGGCCACAGAATGCATTGGGTAATAATTGTTTATTGTTATAGTTATGAATTTGTCCATGATGTTGCTTTTATTATTGTTTGTGTTTTTCTTTTCTTCTGGCTCTTTCTTGTTCCTTTTCATGTTCTTCTTTTTGTTCTTATACTTCTTATTCTTGTCTTCTGGTTGTTCTTCTTGTTCTTCTTCTTCTTGTTTGTATTCTTCTACTTCTTTTTCATATTGTTCCTTTTCATGTTTTTTTTCATGTTGTTGTTGTTGTGTTTTCTTCTACTTCTTCTTCTTGTTCTTCTTGTCCTTATTCTTTTCTTCTTCTACTTCTTCTTGTTTTTTCTTCTACTTCTTCTTCTTGTTCTTCTTCTTCTTATCCTTATTCTTGTTTTTCTTCTTCTACTTCTTCATTTTCTTCTTGTCTATGTTCTTCATATTCTACTCGTTATTCTTGTTCTTGTTCTTCTTCGTCTTTTTCTTCTTCTTCTTCTTCTTCCTGTTCTTCTTCTTGTTCATGTTTATGTTTTCTGTTGTTGTTGTTCTTCATCTACTTCTTCTTCTTCTTAGTTTTTTTTCTGCTCCTTTTTTCTTCTTCTTTGCATTTACCAACTCATAAACATAATGTGTGATGCCTTTATGACTAATCCATGGCATCATTACCTCCAGGCTGCATCTTTATTTGGACTAGTATGTGATTTTTCTTTCACACGACACCAAGTGCTCTTTATCTTTCACAGGGCACCAAGTGCTGACACTTTTTCTTTCACAGGCACAGGCACACAAGTGCTGACACTTTTTCTTTCACAGGCACCAAGTGCTGATGCTTTTTCTTTTCACAGGCACCAAGTGCTGACAACATTTTTTTTTTCACAGGCACCAAGTGCTGACACTTTTTCTTCCACAGGCACCAAGTGCTGACACTTTTTCTTTCACAGGCAACAAGTGCTGACACTTTTTCTTTCACAGGCACCAAGTGCTGATGCTTTTTCTTTCACAGGCACCAAGTGCTGACACATTTTTTTTCACAGGCACCAAGTGCTGACACTTTTTCTTCCACAGGCACCAAGTGCTGACACTTTTTCTTTCACAGGCACCAAGTGCTGAAATTTTTTTCTTTTACAGGCACCAAGTGCTAACACTTTTTCTGTCACAGGCATCAAGTTCTGACACTTTTTCTTTCACAGGCAACAAGTGCTGACACTTTTTCTTTTACAGGCACCAAGTGCTGACACTTTTTTCTTTCACAGGCACCAAGTGCTGACACTTTTTCTTTCACAGGCACAAAGTTCTGACACTTTTTTCTTTCACAGGCACCAAGTCCTGACACTTTTTCTTTCACAGGCACAAAGTGTTGATACTTTTTCTTTCACAGGCACCAAGTGCTGACACTTTTTCTTTCACAGGCACCAAGTGCTGACACTTTTTTCTTTCACAGGCACCAAGTGCTGACACTTTTTCTTTCACAGACACCAAGTGCTGACACTTTTTTCTTTCACAGGCACCAAGTGCTGAAACTTTTTCATTCACAGACACCAAGTGCTGACACATTTTTTTTCACAGGCACCAAGTGCTGACATTTTTTTCTTTCACATGCACCAAGTGCTGACACTTTTTCTTTCACAGGCACAAAGTTCTGACACTTTTTCTTTCACAGGCACCAAGTGCTGACACTTTTTCTTTCACAGGCACCAAGTGCTGACACTTTTTCTTCCACAGGCACCAAGTGCTGACACTTTTTCTTTCACAGACACCAAGTGCTGACACTTTTTTTCTCAAGGCATAAATTTGTTGTATTGCAACTATAACAGACACTTTATGGTGAATACTGTCACCATTTTAGTACATTTTTAGTGGGTGCTGGCACCTTTTTTTCTTTGTATCTGTTTGTAAGAACATGCATCAAGAAATGTTGTTTAACATTTGTCTGTTTGTAAGAAAATGTAACAAGACACATTGTTTGACATTTGTCTGTTTGTAAGAACATGTAACAAGACATGTTGTTTGACATTTGTCTGTTTGTGAGAACATGTAACAAGAGACATTGTTTGACATTTGTCTGTTTGTAAGAACATGCATCAAGACATGTTGTTTAACATTTGTCTGATTGTAAGAAAATGTAACAAGACACATTGTTTGACATTTGTCTGTTTGTAAGAACATGTAACAAGACATGTTGTTTGACATTTGTCTGTTTGTGAGAACATGTAACAAGAGACAATGTTTGACATTTGTCTGTTTGTAAGAACATGTAACAAGAGACATTGTTTGACATTTGTCTGTTTGTAGGAACATGTAACAAAACATGTTGTTTGACATTTGTCTGTTTGTGAGAACATGTAACAAGAGACATTGTTTGACATTTGTCTGTTTGTAATAACATGTAACAAGAGACATTGTTTGACATTTGTCTGTTTGTAAGAACATGTAACAAGACATGTTTAACATTTTTCTGTTTATCAACATGTCATAAGACAACACAATATAAAACAACATAATACAGCTTGACACATCATTACGTGGTATGATACGACACAACATTAGTATACAATATGATACAATAAAGCATGACACAACATGATACAACACAGTATAACAGAACGTGACACAACACAGCATGACAGAACGTGACACAACACATTATGACAGAACGTGACACAAAACAGTATGACAGAACGTGACACAACACAGCATGACACAATACAACATGACACAACACAGCACGACACATTACAGTATGACAGAACGTGACACAACACAGTATGACAGAACATGATACAACAAAATACAACGCAAACTGGTGAAATCATTTACTTCCTTCCTGCAGTCACCCATGGATCCCCAGCGACTGGTGTTCCCTCCCCTCCCAGCCTCTGTGTTCGGGCTGCTCATGTACGCAACCACTGTGACCTTGTTTCCTAAAGGCATTGCATCTGGGTTATGTGGTGGCATGTTCTTGGGATACGTGGCGTATGATCTCACTCACTACTACATACACCACGGACAACCTTCTACCTCCTACTTCAGAAGGCTGAAGACTTACCACATACACCACCATTACATGCATCAACAACTGGGTAAGTGACTTATTAATCCACCAACATGTGGGTAGGTTTATTCTTGAACCCAACTCACCAGCAACCAAAATTTAGATATGTGACTTCTTACAACTCGCCAACATGTGGGTATGTTTATACTTGACCCAAACTCACCAACAACCAACATTTAGGTATGTGACTTCTTACAACTCACCAACATGTGGGTATGTTTATACTTGACCCCAACTCACCAACAACCAATATTTAGGTATGTGACTTCTTACAACTCGCCAACACGTGGGTAGGTTTATACTTGACCCCAACTCACCAACAACCAACATTTAGGTATGTGACTTCTTACAACTCACCAACATGTGGGTAGGTTTATACTTGACCCCAACTCACCAACAACCAACATTTAGGTATGTGACTTTTTACAACTCGCCAACATGTGGGTAGGTTTATACTTGACCCCAACTCACCAACAACCAACAACTGGGTATTTTAATGCTTGGTGTCTTCTTACCTAGTCACCACATTTGGGTAAGTTTAAAATTTTTATTCTGTACCATCTCCACAATGAAAAATAGTTTCGGTGTACCCCCTGTAAAAAAAAGAAAAGAGAAAAGGAGCAGAAGAGGAAGAAAAAGAAGACGAAGAAGGAGAAGAAGAAGGTGTAGGAGGATAAGGAGGAAGTTAATTTACTAGTATATCTATACTTTTCTTGCCATCTTCATGCTCATATCCACTGCTTAGGTTCCTATACCCCATTTTCCCTTCCTATTTTACCTTAAAATTATCCTTCATAACAGCAGGTTTTAATCAAACATGTCGTAAGGGGTAACTAGCTGGGGGCTTCTTTCAAAGTCGGTGTGCATCTGCCTGAGAGGCAAGAAACCAGCAGTCTCTCAGCTTCTGGAACAGAGCCAAAGTCCAGAAATGGACGAACAGCCAGGTCTTTTCGCCGGAGTTTACAGCTGGTGAACGCAAACAACAGTAAGTTTTAATTTATTGATATTCTACTATCACTTTCTGTGCGTCTTTAAAGCATGGGTCTATATCTTTTTTCTGTATTTTATACCCTGGAACATAATAAAATTCCAGTGAGTAAAGAGGGGAAGAAAAGATGCTGAAGTTGGAAAGGATACAGGTTATAAAATCCTGAGAATAATTTAACTAGACAGTGTTTGCACTGGAACCCACAGGGGATAGAAATAAAGGCAGAAAACAAATGGGGCTAGGGAATGAAGTTACAAAAGATATGGATGACATGGAATGAGCTGCATGCAATAGCAAAGGATGGGACAACTTTATGTCAGTTGACTGAGGGCCTATGCTCCGGGGGGGGAGGGGGGGCGGGAGGGGAGGATATAGGGTGGAAGAGAAGAAAGCATACATATGCATTACCTTTATACCCACTGGCATTAAATTATTTAAATGAATCATGTTCTGTTTTATTTATAGGTTTTGGAATCTCCAGTAAATTGTGGGACTACCCGTTTGGAACCCAAATTCCCGAAGACGACGAAAATTCAAAGACTAAATAGTTTTACAGATGCCAAGTTATAGATTTTATCTGCTTTGAATGGACATACATTGGATACAACTTACATGTTGATGATTTATGGCATAATTAACCATTTTTAGTACATATCACGAGAGATTTCAGAAGATTACCTAATTGTTTTGGGCTCGAGATGACAAGTGGTTTTTTATTTTGGTTTTCGTTTCTCTGTAAACTATGTTTCTTGTGCAACCGTCACTTGTCTGAGAATTGGTGGCAATTTCGGGTGGGTGCTGAAATGGGCCGTCTTGGTGGGCTTACTGAAAAGCAACATTACTGCATCGCTCACCAATGCTGATGACTGAAGTAAATTTCTGGCAAAAGTCAGGTCGCCAACTGACGACAACGCTATGACAGCAATGAAGAGCAAACACACAAGTAACACACACAGTGCCAGCTGCTGAAGACATGGTTAACGGAACGTGCTAGCTGCTCACATGCAGAGTATAAAATGCCTTTAGCATTGAAAAATAACAAAATCTGGCATCCCTACAACATACCATATCCAGTAGGAAATCTTGCGGCCGGCAATTTCCAGGCAGGTTCCTGATATGTACCCAATTTTCATATTCTTTATCCAGCTAATCCAAATATATTGTTTATCGATCCCTACATGACCAAAATTTTGCTACCCCCTTTTTAACTCTTTCTATGTGTCTATATTTTCAGACAATGTCATATTTCTCAGGTACAAAAATCTGCATTTATTCGAGTATTTATACATACATTATTTTAAAATGAAAGTCGTAGTAATGTAATTGCTTGTCAGTCTGACTGTCTTAAGTTTGAATCTGCACCAAGCAGACTGTGTTCACATTTGACCTTGCCTCCCAATTTAACCCAACCTTAAATGGGTACCAGGCAATTTCCTGGGAAGTAAAGGTGGGGTGTTGACCACATCACCCAACAAGTGCTGATTGATCTTGTCAAATGTCTAGCATCCTATACTTGAGGTACCACAGGCGTGAAAAGTGTCCTTTCACTTTACTTTACTTTTACTGCACCTTTACTTTACCTCTACTTTTACTGCACCTTTACTCTTACTTTACATTCACTTTGCTTTTCCTGTACCTTTACTTTTACTGTACCTTTACTTTTACCTTCACTTTACTTTTACTGCACCTTTACTCTTACTTTACCTTCACTTTACTTTTACTGTACCTTTACTTTTACCTTCACTTTACTTTTACTGCACCTTTACTCTTACTTTACCTTCACTTTACTTTTACTGTACCTTTACTTTTACCTTCACTTTACTTTTACTGCACCTTTACTCTTACTTTACCTTCACTTTACTTTTACTGCACCTTTACTTTTACTTTACCTTCACTTTACTGAAACCTTTACTTTACTTTACCTTCATTTTACTGTATCTTTACCTTCATTTTACCTTTACTGTACCTTTACTTTACCTTCACTTTACTGTACTTTTACTTTACCTTCACTTTACTGTACCTTTACTTTACCTTCACTTTACTTTACCTTTACTTTACCTTCACTTTACTGTACCTTTACTTTACCTTCACTTTACTGTACCTTTACTTTACCTTCACTTTACTGTACCATTACTTTACCTTCACTTTACTTTAACTTCATTTTACTGTACCTTTACTTTACCTTCATTTTACTATACCTTTACTTTGCCTTCATTTTACTTTTACTGTATCTTTACTATACCTTTCCTTTTACTTTACCTTTACTTCACCTTTAATTTACCTATACTTTTCCTTTACTTTATCTTCCCTTTTAAATTTATTTGTACCTTTGCCTCTTTGTTTTTTAGCTTCACTTTTACCTTTACTTTACATATATTTTACCTTTACTTTACATATATTTTACCTTTACCTTTGTCTTCACTACTTTACTTCACCTTTAATTTACCTATACTTTTCCTTTACTTTATCTTCCCTTTTAAATTTATTTGTACCTTTGCCTCTTTGTTTTTTAGCTTCACTTTTACCTTTACTTTACATATATTTTACCTTTACTTTACATATATTTTACCTTTACCTTCACTACTCTTGTCCTTTACGTGTTTTTTCAACGTATAAAAAATGTCCACCCATCTGACTTACCGGACCTGTTCTTTATTACTAGCATACTGTATGATTGTTGGTGGGAACAGTCACATTTAACACTACCACTGAAACAAGCATGTCGTAAAAGGCTAATAATTAGGGGTGTTTTTTTCGAAGTCAGCATTGCGATCTGCCAGAGAGCTAAGGAACACACAGTCCGACTACAGGTAAGCTAGATCTATAAAGTTGATGTGCACGCAAAACTCAAGTTCTGAAACAAGACCAGAAGTGGACCAACAACCAGAACTTTTCAATGGAGCTTGCAACCGGTGAACTCAATAAAGAAGAAGGGAGAGGAGAAGAGGAAGAGGAAGAAGAAACATTGAGAGCCATACGAATATAACAAAAATTGATTGGCATTTCATGCAACAGAAGGCTGGGAACAGACACAACGACCAATGGCACCAAAGATATTTTTTTCAGTGAAGTTGATTGCATTTTGCTTAATTTTGATTTATGATGGATTTTCTACAATTACTCTTTTTTGTTAAACAAATTTTATTTAAAAAACCAATTCTTATAATTCTCGGAAACTTTATTCTAAAAAACTAGAAGAAGAAGCAGAGGAAATTTGAAGTCTTGGTCAGTTTTTAAAAAATAAATATTCAGGGATTCAAACCCCATGGCCATATAGAAGACTGATGGGCATAAAGTCCTTCGCTTCTTTGATGATGTCACGTCACTAAAACAATTAATTGTTATTTCCAGTCAACTAAGTGTGTACATTAAAACAATTTTTTTTTACATTTTAGGGGAAGTAATCACTAATTACACACAGAGCAAACAACTCATTTACTTTCCTGGGGTAGAAAGTCAGTCAGTCATCGTTGTCAACCAGAACAAGTAAAATACAGACTTAATAAAAAAAAAAGCATCGTCCTCATGTGGGATGCAATTTTTAGTTATTTTGCCGCTGGCCCTAAATATAGCCAGACCTTAAATATGGCCTAACGGCTGAACGGGGTTTATTTTAGACCTCTCCACGGGTGATCCTTATCCACATGGTGGCACTTTGTGTCACCAGGTGTTTATCGCTTGTGTGATGTCCTGGTGTGGTACTACCTACTTAGCTTTCTTGGGGCAAGAGTGTTAAATTGTAGCTGTTCACTGGACATGCTATTTTGCAGTGAATCTTATTTAAAAGAAATGCCATAAAACCTCACATTCCACAAAAGTATTTTATATGTTACGCCAGTTGCAAAAAGGATAATATGTAAAGCAAATCTGCTTACTGAGTGATCGTGTATTTGGGCTGATGTAAATGATACGTAAAACTGACAGTAAAACTATGTTTTATTATGTTTGTCGTATTACCTGTTACTGGCAACATAATAACATTTAACATCCCTGATGGTAACAATGAACATAATTTTTTTTTCAATATTTAACATATTTTTCATGTATGTGTATATATATAAATATATATTTATAACTAGAAGACTCAGTGATTTTTTTATATATTTCTTTATAGTTGGAATTTTAATGGTGTCAACTTAATCAACTTTACAATTATAAACTTTATAGCACTAAACTTTAAAATCATAAACTGTGTGGTTATAAACTTTATGGCTGTAAATTGTATAAATATAAACATTATTGTTATAAAGTTTGAAGCTCTCAACTTGAGAGTTGTAAATTTTATAGTTATAAACTGTATTATTAAAAACAATGTATTTGTAAACTTTAAACAAATAAATGTGAATTGTTTTATATATGTAAACTTTTGAGACTTGTTCATATTTTCTTAGTTACTTGTGTATCCTTTACAAGACATTGTAGAACCATTACAGCGTTGTTTTTATTTATTGCTTTTTCTTTTTTTTTTCTTACTAGGCAATTTTAAGTTCAGTGGTTTAAATGGTTGATGCTTCATACCACTGTAAAAAAATCAATGCAAAGCAGTCTGCTGCCAAACTTCTTATATCTGCAATCACACTTGGTGTTTCATAATTATTTAGCTTGTTCACATCACCTTAGCCACAGACATTTTTATTGTAGCAAGATGATACATAGCAGACCTGATAAGGAGAACTCACCTGGAAACTCAATAATTGGTTCTTCTTATCAGAAATTACTTTTATCCAGATAAGAATTCAAGAAAGAAAAATTGCAGAGGATACACAAATTGTTCTTCACAAGAGAAATTGGCCCTATCTGAGATCTCCTTAAGTGTTTTGCACTGTCTTTTGTGTCCCATAAGTCCCTCCACAATACTTTCTTTTTTTTTTAAGAAGATTACCATGTCCAAACTCAAATAAGGTTATAATTGGGGTCATTATTTATGTGCACATTTTTGTTATAATCAGATAGCTGTATTTGTGATACCACCTTTCTTTTTTTTTTTTTTTGGTCCTTTTAAATGGTAGGTTGCTCTATTTTTAATATATTTCTTCTCATTTACACCTTGCGATTTTTTTTTTAAATCTGCTTTTGAGTATAGGTTTTCCGATGTTTAATTAGTTTAACAACTAATTTTAACTTTCACTGAGAGCTTGTTTCTACATCTAGAGATACTAGTTCTTTTGTTGCCTTCCCCCCCCCCCCCTCTCTCCCCCTTTTTGTTCTTCAGGTGCCACTGAATTTCCCATCAGTCTTTATGCTGATTAACCTAATGATGATGAATAATTAACTTATATTATTTCCCATCTTTATGACTGACAATGTGACTGTCAACTTAGATTCTTTCTACTAGTGGAACTCTCCACAACCTGAAAATACCAGACAATTGTTTTTCTGAAAACATTTTATTTTCTCAAGATTTTTTTGAAAAATTTACTGTAAATACTTCAAATGATGCGTCTATAGTTTTGAGTACTAGTAATATATTGCTGGGTAATGAATTAAAAACTTTTTTTTGAAAAATTTACTGTAAATACTTCAAATGATGCGTCTATAGTTTTGAGTA